TATCCTAAAATGATAGAAAAGATATTTTTCTGACATTATATGTCACCTCTGAAAACAAAGGAAGACTCGTATCGCCCTACACAACGCTTCTTTCCCCGGTCGCGAAGACATTTGAGGCTCTGCTACTCCCATACATTACCCACCACCATACCACAGCGAAGCATCAGCATGGTTTCCATAAACACCCACATAACTCGTGGCCTAAAAAGTAACCATCCCTGTGAGAGAACAGTCCTAGTAGAGCTGAACCTGTCAAAAACGTTTGACACCGTCAGTCATTCCACGCTACTAGAAGACGTTTAGGCTTCCTCTCTCCCACAGGGAATCAAACGGTGGTCGGCGAATTATATGAGTGGTCAACAGTCGGCAGTAATCTTCAGAGATCAAACCTCAAAACCTAGAAGAAACAGGGGGTTTCACAGTGTGGTATCCTCTCCCCCATATTGCTTATTTTCTACAGCTCCGCCAGCCACCGGTGAGAATTTCCCTGATCTCATACGCTGACAACTGTTAGATTTGATGACCTCTGCGCAAAAGTAAACGGATATCTCTCCGAACTTTCTCGCTTCTTCACTGCAAGCGGCTGGGTATCTTCTGATGTCTCCTGAGCACCACCAACACAGTTAGGCCCAAATGCTTCCCATAAGGGAGCACAATAAAATGTTCAGCAAGCAATTGGAATTCACAGGGAGTCGGTCACCACCTACCGCGATTCTCGGCCTATGAATGCCCCGATCGGAGCTCAATCACCAACTGTAGCAGAAACGGCGCTTAAACTGCCAAGAGAGACCCGCGATACTCAGGCCCAGTTACAGTCTGGATACTGTAACCGTCTCAACAGCTACCTGTCCAGTCTCGACATCAACATACACAACCATTAGTTGAGCTTGACGACAACGATTAATAGACCAACCGAAATATGCGGGGCGTAGTAGTGCCGCTACAACAAATGTATCGAAAAACCTGGTCATACAAAAACAACTATTCAAAATTCTTCGTGCCCCAGCTATCGGACGTCATTCCACTTGCACAGGTGTAAAGCATCGTGGTGATGTCGTGCCAGTGACTGGCCTCAAATTGTGTGTAGGTGAGGTACATCGGCAAAGTTTAGAAGGTCCATAAGCCAGAAAAGGATCTTGCACATAAGAAACGAGATTAATAGAGGCCGCCTATTTAAAGATCTGCATGCTTTTAATAAAGGAAGGCATATGGAGATCGTATTGGATAAAATTGCAGAATGAATAGAGGAAAATTTTACTTATATAGGTTTTGCAGTAGTCACTTTCCTCGGCATCTAACAGCTTTTAAGAACGTCCTGCCGGAGCAAATGATAAATCACTAGATCAGCTTGGGGTTTAAACCAACCCAATAAGGTTCATCTACAACTTTCTCTGCCATATTTAGAACAGTCCCGAAAGATCAGAGCAAGCCGCTATCTGCTGACTAGGTAGGTTTCAAACCTATTTATTTATTATTTATTTTATGGTAGGAGAGCTCCTCAAACAATATAAACAATTTTTTCGAATATCTAAATCCTGGGACTAATCCCGGGAACCCGGGATTGTGATAACGACATCCCGAAACTCCCGGGATCGTACAATGCATTGCCATAACGAAAACGTAAGTAAGTGGTGTTCTCATTTCTAAATATGACTAGAATCTAACCAAACTTCTCGTCCTTTTATACGGCACAGAAACATGGGAGATGAGAAGGCTTTGAGACATGCCGTAACGATTTATGACGAGGCTCCGGTGGAAAGATCGATCGACTCGGCACCCTCGGGTAGACAACGAAAGAAAGGGCGCCCAGGAATATAATGGAAGGACCAAATGCAGAAGGACGTGCCTGCACTTGGACTTGGGATGAAAAACTGGCACAAATCCGCAAAGGGGAGAGGCAATTCGCAAAATTTTTAGATCTTGGCCCAAACCGACAAACGGTTGTAGTGCCAAACAAGAAAACACGAAAAATAGCATACCATAAAATGGAGAGGAAGCTCGGCTAAATACTTAGCAAAAGCATAAGCGCCAAAATTTTATTATTAATCATATTCTAATGATAAGTCCTCTTTTAATGGATGTACAGCTATTTTTTTCACAAAATATCTCTTTATTAAACAACCTTAGGTACATTACTTGTCGAATCTCGAAAATATTTCTAATAGTAATGGTACCTCAATGGGTAACCGTAACGGTAAATACTTGGAGTTATAATATTCGATATGGGGCTAATATCTCGCCCTTGATGAATAAGTTCGTGTAATTGTTTCTCCTGTGCGTGTCGTCTAAGATGATCTGCCTTTGCAGCGGCCACGGCAACTGTATCATCCACGGGCTGAGGCAATTGTATATACCCAGTATCTGACCTAGCTGCAGCGGATTTGCCACTAGGGTTACCCCTCGCTCCCAAGCGCAGTAAAGCCTCCCGATGAGCTGAAGCGTGAATGTAACGGGCTGCTGCAACATCGGCGGCAAGGGGAACTCCATTTGACGTTTCTTGCGCACGAAAGGGCTGCTGGTGTTGTTGCAATTGCTCTGCGGCTGCGGCACGAGGTAAATTGGTGGCGGCCACACGGAAACCATTGTCATCGGCGGTATAATCTACGGTTTGTAACTTTCCTGCGGCGTCACGATAACTATACGAACCACGTGTAATGCCGTCTAGCGAACGCNATGCCGTCTAGCGAACGCACCTCTTGTTTGGCCGAGTGAGGCTCTGCGTAGCCGTAAGCATATTGTCCCAAGCCGTCCTGGGTGTTATGGGCATTATAGACATACGGATAGGCGCGTAAGAGCGGTGTAGTGATGTAAGTTACAGCATTACTGCTAGCACTGGTACAGGACACTACTGCGAATATCCCGAATGCAAAAGTAAGCATGGCGACTTTCATCTCGATTAAGATCGTTTGCTGACTGCAAATTAAAATGACTGTGGACTAGGAAGCGCTACTAATGGATGTTCACTAGCACTCGCTTGCTTGAGTTCTGATGCTAACTCCGAAGGTTGTGGGCCCTTTTATATGCGCTCAATCAACACACAAATACATTGATATATGGGCAGTCCTATATACCTGCATGCGTTTTTAGTATGTCTGTTGATGCAACATGTTCTTGTTTCCCTGCCAAGAATGCGCCTACTCCTTATCATTCTAAAGTTACTTTGCTTGTTTCGCTTTTGGTTTTCGTCAATTTGTGTGTCTGGATTGTGCTTCTTTTTTTTAGTTTTTCTTTTAGCTCAATTTCTACATTCGACCGGCCAATGCCTGAAAGCTCCAGGGAGAATCGCATTGGACTGTTGTTGTATTGTTGTGGACAGCGTCAGCGAAGAAGAGGTGTTGCATGCTGCATGCCCATGGCAGTTCAGTGATGTATGTACATATACTGGTAAATTTTTTAACAATGACCTACGCAAACATTTAAATATTTGACCAAGATCACCAATTAGCGACCTTGATCTGCCTACTCTTACTTCTTTTAGAAAGTACAAAATTGACGATTTTTAGAGCTTTTTTAAAACTTCCACAATTACATGGACTTCATACATTAGCCATTTGTTGGGTGCTACCCAACCAATTAGTTTCAAATCCCACAAGGCATTATTATATTCATATGATAATTATCATAGTACACAGGGTCTACCACTT